TGACAGTGAGAACAATTAACCAGTGGAACAACCTGCCTCCAGAAGCGGTGAATGCTCCAACACTGGAAGTTTTTAAGAAGAGACTGGACAGCCATTTGTCCGAAATGGTATAGGGTTTCCTGCCTGAGCAGGGGGTTGGACTAGATGACCTTCAAGGTCCCTTCCAACTTTACTACTACTACTACTACTACTACTATTACTACTACTACTACTATTATTATTATTATTATTATTATTATTATTATTATTATTATTATTATTATTATTATTATTATTATTATTATTATTATTATTATTATTATTATTAATGCACTGGTTAAATGTTTGTAAGTCACCCAGAGTTGCCTCAAAGCAAGACGGGTGGCAAACAAATCAAATGAAATATAAAATAAATACAGTAAGCCCCCCAAAGAGCCCATGCCAGATAAGAAATCTGAGCAACAGGAAAATAAAGTGAAGGTAATGTCATGGCAACAAAGCTTATCCTGAGAATGGAGGTGTTCTATATATACCCAAATATTCTTGCTTTCATTGGGAAAGACTTTTTAAGTGAAAGCTAAGGATACACTCTATTTTTTTGCAATATGAGGGAATTGTGGCTTAAGCAATGCTGTAACTCTATTAGCAACAATATCTATTTAGCTCTATGCTTATAGAAAACCGGGTATTCAAATTCCATATGGGAAGCCCATAATGTGTGGAATGGAAAATAGAGAAACTCCTATTCCTCCCTCTTAATGAAATCATAATAGTTACTCTGAAGCACTGCCTTCTACTCCATAGCTGTGTTCTGAGCAAAGGGATAAATAAGCCTGGTGTGTTCACGCTGAAAAAACAAAACGTCCCTCTGACTGCTTTACAGAATTTGCAAGCACATTTGCCCTACAGAAAAAGACAAGAAGTGATCTTTGTGTAAAGAGAGGGACTGCTTTTTGTTTGCTTGCTTCTTTTCCTGAGAAGGAAAAGGCAAACAGTAATATCTCTTGCGCCCACCTCACTGAACAGAAAAAATAATAATCTCAAAAGCAGGAACAGGGATTAGAGGAAATCTAAAGAGGTTTCTCCTATCTGAAGTCTTCCACCATGGCCTTTGGTCCACAGTGGTGGAAATGGGAAGTCTCTGATCTGGATGTGGTTCCCACTTCTGCTATTACACACAGAACATAGAACATGAAATGCTTCCTTAGTATTCAGTATATAAATAGCATATCAATATATCATTTCTTTTTTTTAACGGTACATTATAATATCTCAGTTGCTTAGTTTATAAAGAGAAGAGACATACTGCCTACATTGAGTTTGATGGGGTCTTTTATAGGATCCAGAAATGCATTGTCTGCTACCAAGCAATGAGAATTGCACAAAGCCACTGAATCTTAATGGAGGATATGAACACTTTGAAAATGGAAATGCTGCAATAAGTTTCACTGGAGCTTTGCAAATACCTGTGAGTATGCCAGCTTCTCTAGTAATGGTACTGGGGGCGGGGATCATTGGAAATATCCACATCACCCAAATTCTAATTTGAATGCGGGGACTAATTTGAATGTGGGGACTATGGAGATAAAATCCTTAGAAGTACGCAGATCAGCCAATTTCTAATTTGAATTTACAATCAGATTTGAATCTCTTTGATTTCAAGATTCAGTTCTATTGTATTGAAGTATGTGTACATATGTGCAAAAGGCTTCTGGATCTTTGAATTGAACTGAAAGCATCTGATTTTATTCAACACATTAAGTGAAGTTGACAGTTTAACACTTAATTCATTTGAAAGGAGAGGATCAATCAAACTGAAACCTGAATCAATCCTATAGATCCCTAGAAAACCGTCAGGTTTGTTGTTAATGCATGGCTTTGGAATTACCATTAGTGGGTATTACTTCACAGAGAAGGAAACCCTCTAGACAGCGTAAGGTTCAATTAGCAAAAAGTGCTGTGCCCTTAACAGAGATGAGAGATCAGAATGGACTATGTAAGAAGATTCCTCCCTACCCCCAAGTTTGAAAGATTCCAAGATCACAGTCACTATTAAATGATAGCAAAAGAAAGAGTTTTATTGGATGATACCTTATCCGCCGATTTGCAAAGGAGGGTCTGACATTAATGTGCAGTGGGGGCTGTTCCCAGGCAAGGCTCACTTGCTGTGGAACTTTCCAATGGATCCCTGATCCCATATATTGAAATAAATTTTATTGGTCAATCATACAGAGGGTATGTGACTGCAGACCATCATGCTGTTTGCTTTGTATCAGTGGTTACCCTTTGAATATAGGCTGTTTATGCATGATCCTATATTATCATTCAACTATCTCTGTATAATATTGGACAATTATATGTTGTACCGAAATCCTTGCACAAAAATTAGCCCAAAGTAAAGTGTTTATTGTCTTTTTCTTTTCAAATAAATCTTATTTTCCATTCTTTGTAGGGAGTGGTAGAATTCTCTCTCTGCCTATTATTTGCCAAATTAGTCAGCTACACTTTTCTTTTCTGGCTTCCACTATATATCACTAATGTCGGTAAGTGTCCTAGTTTAAAGAATTATGAAAGACTGGTCATATAAAACATTACCACAAATCATATTTGAGAGAGAGTTCAATATGGTTAAACTTTTTCAAAAATTCAGTCACACGTTTACTCAACTGAGTCCTTTGGGAGTGGTGGTTTTTTTTAAAAAAGTAAATAAAGCATAATAACAGGCAAACATTTCTCAGATTTTTATTTAATAGATATGATGAATTAAGTTATTTTTGTAAGTTAAACAAAAAACCTGATTATATCCAATTACATAAAGTACTGTTTGCTAAAGATGTGCATAACAATTTCACCAGCTAAATATCTGCTCATAACAATTGCTGATTGGAGTAAGGAAAGACAGAGAGATACAAGAAACTGTGTATGACAAAAATTAGGACATATGTTTCCCAGCCAGTCTCGCAATCCCTTGCTCTGCCCCCCACCCAGCAACAGCCATTTACCTGCCAGATAGAAAAGGATGGAAAGGGGGAAGGAAGNNNATAACAATTTCACCAGCTAAATATCTGCTCATAACAATTGCTGATTGGAGTAAGGAAAGACAGAGAGATACAAGAAACTGTGTATGACAAAAATTAGGACATATGTTTCCCAGCCAGTCTCGCAATCCCTTGCTCTGCCCCCCACCCAGCAACAGCCATTTACCTGCCAGATAGAAAAGGATGGAAAGGGGGAAGGAAGGAGGGAGAGGAAGAAACCCTCTTGCCCATGCCATCTCCTTGCACGCTACCCCATCCATGTGCCTTCCCAAACAAGTGTCACCCCCACGTGTCTTCCCAAACCCATGCAGCACCTCTTCACACCCCCATGCACACTCTGTGACCCTCCCCACTACTTGCCTTTCTCCACTCATGCAGCATCTCTTGGGTCTCTTTACATATCTTCACAAACCATGCCACACCCTCCCATGCACTGTCTCTGATCTGCACGTTCCTCTCAAGCACTCTTCCCAACCCTCGCCACGCTCCTGTGCACCATTACCAACCAGCAGAGCACCTCTCACATAGCCCTGCAACCCCCATACATTCTTCTTTATCCACACCTCTCCTACATCCCTCTGAAGCCACCCCCTTACACATATTTCTGACTTGCATCCCATCGTGTGCTCTCCCACACCCAGCAGCAGCCATTTAGCAGCTTGCTGGCCTTGGATTTATGACTTCCTGCTGGCTTTTGGAAGGAAGGAAGGAAGGAAGGAAGGAAGGAAGGAAGGAAGGAAGGAAGGAAGGAAGGAAGGAAGGAAGGAAGGAAGGAAGGAAGGATGCTCCCTGCCAGTTCCCACAAGGAATTCAATGTGGAACCTGGCAAGAAGTTGAAAGTCATTCCCACTATTTTTTTTTGCCCACCAATGGTCATTCTGTTTCTCTGTTTAGGTGAGGAAATATCTCTGAAATGATGACCAAATGGAGCATGAGTTGTCTAGTACCTTATTGTAATTCATTTGCATTTTGTAAAAATTACGAGAAACTAATCCTAGGAGGAAGAAACTTCATTTTTTAACATTTTTGTAACAGATAGTAAAACATGCAATCCATTATTCGTACTTCGTATTGAAATATAGTAGACCAATCCTTTATTAAGGGAAGAAAAATACATTTTTTAAAAAAAAATCACAAAATAAATTCTATCTCAGAGGCGTTTTTCCTTTCATATAGCTTAATATGAGATATATGAGATGGCATGTGATTCCTCTACTTTAGTACTAGATACGTGACACAAGACAAGGGAAGCAGAAAAATTCGATATGATTCCAAATGATCCGATGATTTGTTTCTCCATATTACAGCTGAAAAGGTAGTAATTTAGACAAGCTAGACCTGCTGAAACAGTTGTCTTGGAAAATATTATGGCACCTGAAAATATTTAAACTGTTGCTGACATATTTTTTATGTTTCATTGGTAGAGCATCTTGATGCCAAAAGGGCAGGTGATCTTTCTACCCTATTTGATGTTGGAGGAATTTTTGGTGAGTGTGCTACTATGACCTGTTTATTACCTTTGAAACCTACACATATATGAGTCTTTGGTTTTTTAAATCAAATTCTGAAACAGAGACAAGAAATACTTTGAAACAGGGAGTAGATGCTGATAATTAAAGTTTGGTTGGCGGCTTGAGAAAATATTGGAGGGTGTCTTTAATGGAGTTGTCAGACCTGCCTCAACTTGAACCTTTAAGTAAGAATGATCCTTTCTCATTTGATGAGAAAGGTATAGTTTACGAAAGGTCAAGTGAAATACAATAGAGCAAAGCCAGAACTGAAATTCGCGGGCCAAATCCCCAAGTGTAACTTTCCCCCCTTAGGCACTTCCCATTGTTGTCTCCCCCCCCCCATTGTCCAATCAATTTCAAAGAAGATGTTTTTGAAAGGGTCACTCTGGGTGTAGGCTGGCTTGCAGCTGCATTCTTCTCACAGCGGGGCAATTTTGAAACGCCATCTCGGAGAGGCGCACTTTCCCCCAAGCATCCTCCCTCCCTTCCACCCTCTCTCTAGGATCCACAACAGAGTGGTAACGAGTGATAGCAGAGCGCAGGCATGAGGTGGCAGTTTTGACAGAAGCTTTGGATGAGAGTGGTGGTTTTGATATTTAATAACAGTTTGTACGGGGCAGAAAAGTAGGAGTCACTGGGATGCATTCTTAAAAGTGCGAGTGAGCTATTTCCATTTTGTAAGGGTTGGCAGTGAAGGATTTTTTTTTTATTTTTTCCACAACTGCAGCAGCTTGGTGTGAAGTGGTATTTTTTGCTCAGTATTGCTACATGGCAGTACAAAAAATGAAGTAGGTGATTGGGGTGGAATTGGAGTGGATGACAAAAACAGACAAATGTTCAACGATGTTGTCAGCTGAAGAGTAAATAGAGGAGAAGATTTATCACTGCAGAATTAAAGGTAATCATGATTAGCTTTGTGGATGAGCTACTGTACATATGAAGGGCACTTCCTAAGAATCAAGGAAAATATTACTTTTATAGTGTTATTTTGCACAGTTTTGAATGTGCAAAGAACATTGTTACATTTTGCACCTCTCTCTCTTTTTTATACAGGTGGAATTTTAGCAGGTGTAATATCAGACCGACTCAAAAAAAGGGCTACAACTTGTGGCATGATGCTGTTGATAGCTGGACCCACTGTAAGTTTTGAGGTGATGGGTGACGATGATGATTATGAAAGTGTTGAAGGCTTTTTGAATTATAATGTATAAACAAAAGCAGGCTTAATGAAATAGAATTGCATTTTTGTACCCTACTGTTGTGGATATCTAAGCATTTTTCTTTCTCTAGAACAAACTATACCCACTTCTTCAATTTTGAATAATGACAAATGAAAATAGAATTCCAAAAAGAAAAATAATGCTAAATTTGTAGTGGACATCTAGCCAAGAGAGCTTGACTTACTACAGAATGATTCGAACTAACTGTGCTATTTGTATTTATCCTAGCTGTATATATTTTCTGTGATCAGTAAAATGGGATTAGAGGCCACAATAAGTAAGTTTTATGCTTTATTCTTCCTTCCCCCTCCCCGCTTCAATTGGATTGTTTAAATATAAATCCACTCCAACTTTTACTTAACTCTGGAATTTTTATGGTTAAAACTAACAGTCTGGGTTACACTGAGATAATTTCTGTTCAGATCAGATAATTTATTGTGAATGAAAGATTCAGAAAACAAATAACTTTCAAGTGATGTGTTTCAATGAAAATGTCCTCAATATGGTGCCCTCTAGATGTTTTCTGGATTACAATTGGAAAGCATAAGATTGGGGAAGGAAGGTTGTCATACTCCAGGTGACAGGCAATTCTCCCTAGAGAAAAAAGAAGAGATGTGACATGCTTAATAATAAGAATAATAAGGAGCATTAATAATTATTGTCAATTATTAATAAGAATGAGAATTATTATTAATAATAAAATAATAATCAATACTAAGAGTAATAATTATTAATAATAAGAGATGTGGCATGCTTAATAGTAGATGGGAAAAGCCATTTAGCCATTGGGTCCAACTGCCAACTCGGTGCAAGAAACCAGGTAAAGCATCTAAGAGAAATGGCTAACACACTCAGTCATGAGGACTCGTTTGTTGTTGTTAATTGCGAAATTGTGTCCGACCCATCGCGACCCCATGGACAATGTTCCTCCAGGCCTTCCTGTCCTCTACCATCTTCTGGAGTCCATTTAAGCTCACGCCTACTGCTTCAGTGACTCCATCCAGCCACCTCATTCTCTGTCGTCCCCTTCTTCTGTTGCCCTCAATCTTTCCCAGCATTAGGCTCTTCTCCAGTGAGTCCTTCCTTCTCATTAGGTGGCCAAAGTATTTGAGTTTCAACTTCAGGATCTGGCCTTATAAAGAGCAGTCGGGATTGATCTCTTCAAGGACTGACCGGTTTGAACACCTTGCAGTCCACGGGACTCGCAGGAGTCTTCTCCAGCACCATAGTTCAAAGGCCTCAGTTCTTTGTCGCTCAGCCTTTCTTATGGTCCAACTTTCGCATCCATACATTGCAACTGGGAAAACCACGGCCTTGACTATACGCACTTTTGTTGGCATGGTGATGTCTTTGCTTTTAGTATGCTGTCTAGATTTGCCATAGCTTTCCTCCCCAGGAGCAAGCGTCTTTTAATTTCTTGGCTGCAGTCCCCATCTGCGGTGATCTTAGAGCCCAGGAAAATAAAATCTGTCACTACCTCCATTTCTTCCCCATCTATTTGCCAGGAATTGAGAGGGCCAGATGCCATGATTTTGGTTTTCTTAATGTTGAGTTTCAAGCCAACTTTTGCACTCTCCTTCTTCACCCGCATCAAGAGGCTCTTTAGTTCCTCTTCACTTTCTGCCATTAGAGTGGTATCATCTGCATATCTTAGGTTGTTGATATAGATGAGGACTCTACCAAAACCCATTAATTGGTGGAATTGCTGTGACTGATAAAAAGGATTTTCTTAACGTTCCACCATAATGTACTTTCCTGCAAATTCTATAATTTCATGTAATGCTTTCTAAAACTAGAGAGACGAGATCTTGATGTTCTAAGTGAAACCACTTCAAGTTATGTCATCCATCCCTCTCTACATCTTCTTTCTTTTTCTCTGACTTTCTTAAGGGACAAAGTCATCAAGCTGTGTATCTGAAAATGTTAGCAGTTTTGTGGGGAAGATTGAGATATTAATTTTATATCTAATGAATACAGCTTTAAAACTGTAATTCATAATTATATCATTTTTTCACTTCATTTCTGTTTTCCTTATCCACTCATAAGAGTTAGCGTAATTCACGAATCTCTGTTTCCCAGATCAGTAATAATCATAGCAACAGCAATGATCTGGGCCATAACTTGTTTTCTTTCTTGTCAGATCATACTTTGCAACAACTAAGGGAAGACAATCAGATCGGACAAACTGATAAAATAAAATAGGTTTACACAGCTCCTATTTTCATAAAGGAATTCTGCTAATCAACAGAACACTGGCCACAAGCATTTATCAAGTATTGTAGCCCAGCCCAGCTGAAACCATCACCAAATCATTGTCATTTCTTGCTCTCTTCTTTCCCCCCTCTTCTTTCCCCAATGCTCAACTTATTGTCTAAGAACATTGGAAGAGAAGCTTGGATTGCATAGAATACAGGTGTCAAACTTGCCACGTCACGTGATGTGTCGCGATGTATCCCGACTTCTTTTGCATGGCCGACAATGGGGTGGGCCTGGCTTCGGTATGACGAAACCGGCCCGCGGACCGGCAGTTTGACACCCCTGGCATAGATGGTAAAAAGAAAAGAAATAGCTTTCTTCTTCAATAAAATGTTTCTCATTTCCCTAGCTTAGTAATAAGAAAAAATAATGCCGTTTTTTTTTTTAGCTACAGTCATTGCTACAGTGGATAGTAATGTATAGGTCAGGGGTAGGCAACCTTGGCTCTTTTATGACTCGTGGACTTCAACTCCCAGAATTCCTGAGCCAGCCAAGCTGGCTCAGGAATTCTGGGATTTGAAGTCCATGAGTCATAAAAGAGCCAAGGTTGCCTACCCCTGGTATAGGTAAACCATATAATGTTTATATTTATCAGTTGTTTAATTGGCCATAGCAATTAACTATTGCTTATTAATTACTGATTATTAAGATATTTAGGTCTAGCAGTTAAGGTGCTGGGTTAGACGCCAAGACAGTGAATTTTAGTCTTCCCTTAAGCAGGAAAGACAGCTGAGTGATTTTGAGTCAGTCACTCTCTCTTAGTTTCATAGGGTTGTTGTGGGGAAAACAAGAGGAGGGAGGATGAATATGTTTGTCACCTTGAGTTACTTATAAAGTAATAAAGGGAGGATAAAAACCTAATAAATAAATCAAGTGTAAGTGCAGGTCACTATGTGCTGTGTTATAAACAGCTGGTTAATGACCACAATAAAGTTTTTTCTTTTCATTACTATAAATAGCATGAGCACCATTGACCTTAGTGATACTTCCTTTAGAAAGCAGTATTTTAAAAGATTACACCATGTGTCTCCTTTATGTGCTTGAAGAGGCACACCTATAGTAAAGGTGCATAGTTCCAAATGAATGAGAACCTGAATTGAGCAGAGTTTTCTCATATGTTTTTCCTTGGGCCTATTCTTTTCAATAACAAACTAATATATGAGCCTTCCAGTGTTTAATAAAAATTAAATAACAGGTCCTGCATCTGCTGACTGTTGATGATATTAAATACATATTAACTTCAATTTTTAAATTTAAGTTATGCTGCTGATCTGTGGAGCTCTTGTAAATGGTCCATATGCATTGATCACAACAGCTGTCTCTGCTGACCTGGTGAGTCCTTTTCTGTTCTATATGGAGCATATTATTTGCCACAGTATTTTTGTTGTATCATTTCTAATAAGTACATATAAAAAATCAGAACACAAATTCTAGAGGAGGAGGAAAATATATTGTGCATTGGTGATATTCAGTGGCAATATTATAATTGCATTTTTTTCAGTGTCGCACCAGATAATGTGAGGAAGATTTACAATATAAATAAGATGAAGATTATCTCTATTCTCTATTCTCTAAGTATTTCTATCTGAATATTTTGTTCTTAAAGGGTACCCATAAAAGCCTTCATGGAAACGCAAAAGCACTCTCAACTGTTACAGCCATCATTGACGGAACAGGCTCCGTAGGTATGGTATCATCCTCAAGAACAAAAGGCGGGAAAGTTTGATAGGAAACTCTTGACCAGTCTTTCCCAGTCTGGTCCTCTCCAGATTTTGAGAATGTTCAACCAGTGTGAGAGTTAGTTTTAAAAAAAGGTCGCAGTCAGGATGCGCCTTGTGCCTACGTGTATCACTTAAACAGTAGAAGCATATAAATCATCATGCTTTTTCAATGGTGACTATGAGTTCTAGTTCCACTTGAGACACAAAGCCAGCTAGGTGACTTTGGGTCAGTCACTCTCTCCCAACCCTAGGAAGAAGGTAGTGGCAATCCATTTCCAAAAATGTTGTCAATATAATTTTATGTTTGTTTAATTGCCAGGAATCAAAACTGACTTGAAGGTACACACACATACAGAGCGAGAGAGAGAGAGAGAGAGAGAGAGAGAGAGAGAGAGAGCAGTGCAGTGCAGTGCAGTGCAGTGGTAGGATCCTTATGCAAATATATTAGTTACATTGAAATTTATTGAAATTTCAATAAAAAAGTTGATAGGTTTGACAAGATCCCGAACTGTGAATCTTGAAAATGATCCTCTGCCAGCACTCCTATAACACCAGCTACAACCCAGTGAAGTGAATGTCACAAGAAGACTAGTTTGCCATCAGCCTGGGATTCCGCTGATGGTTTGCACATGGAAATGGGTGAGGATGATAGGAAGAAAAATGATCTGGATGTATTGTCATTCAGAACAGCTTGCAAAGCCATCCAGTTGTGAGTTTTCAAAATCATTCTGAAGTATTAGATGCCTCAGGTCCCACCCTGTGTGTGCTTTAATGTATGTGCATGGTATTTTAGGTGCAGCATTGGGACCATTGTTAGCTGGTCTTCTTTCTTCATCTGGTTGGAACAATGTCTTTTACATGCTGATGATAGCAGATGCCTGTGCCTTACTGGTAAGTCGTACTGTACTGTAGTGTTGCTCCCTTATTTGTTGAAATGTGGTATAATCATTTGTTACATTGCTTCTGTGAAAGCTTGAACTTCCACAGTGTGATACTTCACCCAAAGGAGCATTTGGATACATACTGGGCTAATTGTATCTCAGTTTCTATGCAATATCTGCTTGTTAAAATATTTTAACTGGAAGCATAGGGTACATTTATTTATATAAGTTTCACCAGTAGATGTCATAGTTCGTATGTTAGCTAACAGTAACATTAATGAACATATCATTTTAAAAAGGATATTTAAAAATCTGTCCCTCAAATAGCATCACAGAGATTATTCCTGCAACCCTGCAATTCCTGCAACTAAAATATAAGAGACAGGTTGGTGTAGTGGTTAAGGTGCAGGCTAGAAACCAGGAGGCCATGAATTTTAGACCCACCTTAGGCCCAAAACCAGCTGAGTGACCTTGGGTTAGTCACTCTTTCTCAGCCCTCGGAAGCAGACAAGGGCAAACAAATTTTGAAAAACTTGCCAAGAAAACCACAGAGACTAATCCGGTCAATTTCCAGGAGTCAAAAACTGGCTTGAAGGCACACACAACAACAACTAAAACAATAATGTAAAATTCTTCCTTATGGCCTGAAATAAATTTCCACAAGGGAGAGCTATTTGCATAAGTCAGTGATGGCGAACCTTTTAGAGACCGAGTGCCCCAAAACTGGCCCCGCCCCTGCTCCATCCCCCGCTCCACCCCTGCTCCACCCTCACCCCATCCCCTACCCCACCTGTCCACAGGGCCACTCACCGCCTCCATGGCCCACCGCAGATCGCCCAGGCAGCCCAGCAGTGCCGTGGCAGCCACACCCTCTGCCCATGCCCCGCAGCATCAACTGTGCGGGATGGGGCATGAGGGCAGAGTCTTGTCTACGCTGCCTGGCTGCCATGTCCTTGGTTGCGCTGCTCCGTGTGGGCCACACTCGGGGGTGACTCTCCTCCAGGGGGGCTGCTGGTGAGGAGGGGGTCATGGGGGAGGTGAGGCTGGGGCAACGGCACGTGTGCCCACAGAGAGGGCTCCGAGTGCCACCTCTGGCATGCATGCCATAGGTTCGCCACCACTGGCATAAGCTATGACAGCTGCAAGACCACATATGATAAAGATCCACAATTACATGTAGTGATCTTATGCTGCTGCATTGTTAGACCCTAGTTTTATTCTTACTGGATTTACTGAAATAAGTCTGAAGTTTGTTCTAAATTTCTTCACTTTGATCAGAAGGAGATAAACCTGAAATGTCATATATCAGCGAGTTACTAGGAATCATCTATAGGTTCAGTACTGAAATTTAAATTTATTTAAATTTAAGATTTATAAAATCTTGCCAGTTAGGTCATGTGAAATCTTATGCTAAAAATGGAAATCTGACATTAAAGTGTAATATGCTACTTCCTTCTATTTCTTCATTGCTATTATTTTGCATTAAATCTTGCTAAGTTCCCAAGGTTTGTTTTCTGAATCTGCTGCCACTTCCTTTCGGTTTCTCAGACACACCCAGGTGGTCAAATGCCTTTCTTTAAAGATTGGAATGAAGAATTGGCGACAAGAGTCTTCTCTGTTCTGTTAACATTCAGAAAATCACTATTTAGATGAAGAATTGATGTCATTAATTTTGGGGGGGGTTGTTTCTTGTTGTTCTTGACATTTTACAGTTAATTATTTTTTAAATATGTTTACAGTTTTTACTCCGTCTTATACGAAAGGAACTTCGATGTAGTCTTGACCAGACCTTGTAAGTTTCTGCATAGTAAAAAAAAAATAATTCTGACTTGCTTAACATTCATTTTTGATTGTGTATCTTTTCATAGAGCATTGTTACCACTTTTTCCCTTTTTGTTATTTGGAATTCTGCTTCTTGGTCAGAACAGCGACATATCTTCAGCAGAGGCCTTACTGAGCACACTGCTGAGAACTGTATTCAGCCACAAATTTCTCACCTCTTTCACAAAAAGAGGTGTAAAAATGATGTATGTTTTAAAAAAGTAGTTGCTACAGTTCTCCTGTAAATAGGTTCAATTTTTTCTTTCATTTCCTTTTTTATTTTTAATCGTTTTAACTTTATTAAGGTATCCATATTTGTTTTAAATTTCTGGAACTGTGATTTAAATATCTTTTAAATTCTATTGCTGCTTTTAACTCAGAAATAGCTAAGTATATAGGTAGAATAACAGCTCTCTATTTTGTGTGCTCTTTTGTTTAAGAAAAGATAATTGTAGCCCTACTGTATATAGCAGGGGTCCCCAACCCCGGTCCATGGACTAGTACCGGGCCGTGGCATGCCAGCAACCGGGCCACATAAACAAGCAAAGCCCCATCCGTGAGATGCAGGCAGCACACAAAACCACGCCCCCTCCGGTCCTTGGAAAAACCTCTCTCCACGGAACTGGTCCTTGGTGCCCAAAAGGTTGGGGACCTCTGGTATATAGTACAAGGTGCAAAGCTCCGGACACTAGTCCTCAACTTACGATCACAATTTAGCCCAAAATTTCCATTGCTAAGCAAAGCAGTTATTCAGTGAGTTTTGCCCCATTTTATGAACTTTTTTCCCACAGTTGTTAAGCAAATCACTGCAGTTATTAAGTGAATCATGTGGTCATTAAGTGAATCTGGCTTCCTTCATTGACTTTGGTTGTTTGGGAAGGGAAGGGTCTATGACAACTCATCACGGCCATCTCGCCGTGGCCCACCTGGCGGGGGACAACTCGCCAATCCATGCAGGATGACTCATCGCAAGAAATATCCTCCATTGCTTCTTCTACATTATTTTCATTTTGGTCAATGGAAATAATATTGAAGAAACTGTGGCAGGTAACATTTATTACATTGAGTTATCCCATGTCCTGAGGCGAGTTGTTCTGCAGCAAGATGGCCACATCAGGTTGGGTGTGGTAAGATGTCTGCAGCAAGTTGGCTGCGGCAAGTTGTCCCATTCCAAGTTGGAGGTACAAATGGTGATCATATGACCCCAGGACAGTGTAACTGTCATAAATACATGCCAGTTGCCAAGCACCTGAATTTTGATCACGTGACCATGGGGATGCTGCAATGGTCGTAAGTGTAAAACAAAATGGTTATGTCACTTTTTTCAGTGCTGTTGTAACTTCAAACAGTCACTAAATGAATGGTTGTAAATCGAGGACTACCTGTATATCTGTTCCTATGTAGTGGTCACCTAGATCTTTAAAGCCCTGATATGAGAAACCTAAATATCTATACATCCTTCTTTATATAAATATATAAATTTAATGTATAAGATTTCTTGTTTTTCACTTTCTAATATTTCCATTCTTTTGTAGGTTTAAGGAACACTAACTTTTAGACAAGAGATTTATTTAAAACAATTGTTCTTAAAGAGGTTAATCCAGAAATCCTACTTGATCCTTCTGAGAGGAAAGCTGCTATATAAAAGTCACATTGCACATCTTTCTTTGGATTGCTGATATCCCTGGAAATAATATTTGCATGCAAATCGCATTTCCTGAAAAGCTTATACAGTTATTTTTAGACATCAGAATTTTGACTCTTTTGCACCTCCCCTCTTAACTTTGCACATTAGCATCAGGAATGTAACAATGTGAAACAAAGGATCTCCTAGCTATTCTACATAGCAGAACTGAGCCAAAGAAAACTGTGCCTTTATCCTCACTTTGTCAAAATATTATACTACATGATTGCTTTTATGTTTTGAGAGAATATACAGATTGAAGACAAAAAGTGAGGGGAATAAATTAACTCTGGATACTTTTTTGTAATGTGGTAAAAAATGAGCAAAATGTGGACTCAGATGTCTGTCCTGTTATGTCATGTTTACTTTTTGTTAAAAAAAAAAAAAACGACTGTTGAATATACAATTATTCCTGTTCAAAATATTCAGCTTTTTTATTGTCCATTGTTACTAATATCTCTCATTGTACAATTAAATATTGAACTTGAATATTTTTATAGCTGATTACTAAATTAGAAGCAAGTAACTTGCATTAACAGAACTTTCAAGGCTTTTCAGAATGATAATATCTGTTAGGCTGCTTGATTTTTGAAACTGATCGAAATGGAAATGGATTTGAAAGTAATATTCAATAGTTACTGCAGCTGTTGCATTTATTCTCTCCCATAGGTATTTTTAATTTGGGGAAAACATTATAAAGTAAATTCATAAACACTGAACCAATTTACTAGTTGATATTGTTGACATCCAAATTTGATATGTGTGGGGAGATTTATTTGGATGGCCTCTGCGATGGGCTTGCTGGGACTTTCCCTCCCATTTTGTTTATGCAGAACTGGCCCCAGCATCCAATTTGAATGGTGTAAAACCCATACCTTCATGACAATACATTTGCAAGAATCCTTCATATATATTTGTCTGTGAAACCTTAGAACTGCCCTGAATGCATTTGACTGATTTGATTCTTGTTTATTAGTGCATTTTGAAAAGGACAGAACAGTAAGCAATTATTAAATTACTTATTTACTTACTTGTGTCCTTTAACTGTTTAATGCCAGTTGATCTATCTCACAGTCCAACATATTTAATCCACTGGGTTTCTTCACAATGGAGCTCTTTACAATGCAGGAGAAGAGAACAAACAGCAACAAGGTGGATGAATTCAATTACAACAGTGATGAATGCATCATTGGAGAACATGAAAGGCCAGATTGGGAACAGATCATCTTACAGAAAGCCAAACTATGTGGTTGCTAAGAGACAATACCTACTTGATGTCATATAATGAAAAGATCAAATTGATAGAAAACCTGAAGACTAGAATAGTTAGAGTGCTAGGAAAAATGGACCTGAGATTATACAATTTTCCTCTCCTGATTACTGTGGCCTTTCCTTCTGAGTAAATGCAGCTGCCATTACTAACCCCAAATCTGAAATAGACGGTACAGCTGATTCCCCGGGAAGAAAAAACACATTTATTTACATGGGTCTTATCCAATCATTTTATTATAATGGGGGAATTGGGAAGTCGGGATTCTTTTCCCTCCATGTATTCATTTATATTGCGAAGGAAATATTTCCCATCAGACTTGTCACAGGGGGTTCTTGTGGGTTTTCAGGATTTGATCAAAACTCAGTCTAAAATAATTTCAGATTTTTTTCAACTTTATTAAGCAGATGGCAGCTATTCATCTGTTTTGGTTTCACATCCAAGCCTTGCAAGATAATTTGCAGTCATATCAGCTAAGATGATTTTCACTCTCTACCTTTTCCCCAGCTGTTCAGGAGCTTAAAGTTATGAGACTGTACAAATGATTTTTCTTTTACTCCTGAGTATCATGTAGCATAAATATTTTCTAGCTGGACATGTATACACTACAAAATGGAGTTTATATGTAGGCATTCCTTTATTTCTATGCCCTACATCCGTGGTGGCGAGCCTATGGCATGCGTGCCACAGGTGGCACGCAGAGCCATCTCTGGACACACGCACTGTCGCCCAAGTCCTAGGCCTTCAGCTGGGTTTTATAAAACCTTTTCACTTTAGGCCTCCGCCACCATGTGGAGAAAAAAAGGTTCAATCAATCAATTTCAACTTCTTGCGGAGGGGGGGAAAGATCTCGCAAAGTTGGAATTGATTGATTGAACTTTTTAGTCCCACCCAGTCTGCCATTACCACCGCAGCCATGCCCACCCAATGGGCCACGCCCACCCAATAGGCCACACCCACCCGACACCCGATGATACATTTGGGTTTTGGGTTGCAGTTTGGGCACTTGGTCTCTAAAAGGTTTGCCATCACTGCCCTACATATTTCCTTATTTGAGGTTAAGGAAGTGCCTATAGATACTGGTTGTAATTTTCCTCTGAGTCAGGCTGACAGCTGGCATTCCTCAGGCTGGTAACCTTTGATCTTCTGCATTCTTTACTCCACTAGAAGCATTTGTATTGGGTAGATGAATCTCATAGCACATCCATCTCTTTATCTTCAGCAATCTTTGAGCAATTCTTCAACTAACAAGCCTTCAAACACTGTCCAATTTAACTCAGGTTTGCCAGCCTATACATTCTTCCTGACTTAAACCACAAATCAAAAGACAGAGCAATCTAAGTCCATCTTAATTGCCATTACAGATCTCCTTTAAGTTGTGTCAAGTTTCTTTTCAGAAGTCTTCTCTCAGAGTTCCTCTATACTTTAAGACTCCACCTTTAATGCATCTGTGGTCTGTCCTCCTCACTTCCAAGAAGGGTTCCTATGAGAAACTAAACTGCTCTACTCCCAACGTCTTATAAGAAACATTAGTATAAAACATTTGTCTGGATTTCTGCATGAAAATAGGAACAATGAACAAGAAGACGAGGCTGAACAAAAGGAAGAATGCTCACAGGAGGTTTCTCGATAAAAGCCGAGAGGCAAAATGATTAAAAGAATTTGTTCTCTTTGCAAAAATGGGAACGCTACTAGGAAACATGGAAGACAATTGCTCCTGCAGTGGTCATGATTGCCACCAGATGGTGGTACAAATCAAACAGAGATTACATTTAAAAATTGCTTAAGAAAAGAACTTAAGAGTTAATAAGCCAAGTCTTTCCAAGTTGGAATATGTCCACCCAAAAGACTGTGATCTTCATCTCCTCAGATGTTCTTAAATCAAGAGGATTCAAGTGCTTTTATTTAATGGAAAGATTAAGTGTGTAAGAGTTCCCCAGTTCTCCCTCTGGAAACTGGCTATTGTGTTTCAGTTGAACAGAAACAGCAGGATCCAGGAAAAAGAACCAAAGTAGTGAATAAGGCAAAATTGAAGAAGAGCTGAACATTGAAGCAGAGTAGACTAGTTAAAGAAATACTGAAGAAAGAAGCATATAGAGAAAAGGAAATTGGGAAAAGAATGACTGTGAGAGATTGGTGTATACTTGACACAACAGGTGATTCTATGCTTTGACACATTTGAGTTTCCTGGAATCATTGTTCAAATAATCCATGTTCCTTCTTTCATCTCTCTAAAGTGGAGAGTATGTTTGCATCTCCATTCCTTTTGCTCTTTATTTTTCTGTTTACTGTTTACTTGTTCCTGAAGCTTGTGGCCTTTGTACAAACTTGAGGAACACAGTGAGTTTAAGCACTTAATATGCTCTGCCAAAGGGTCCAGCTGCTTTCAAACACTTCAAAGGCATAGCACTTTAAAGAGCAAGAATGCAATAAATCATCATCCAGAAGTATGCAATAGCATCTTAATATATTTTCTAGTTGACATATGACTGTTCAGTGAAAGAAAATAAATTGAAGATTGCAAAGAGAAACAAAAGGCTCAAGGGCAAAATAAAAAGATAGGGATCAATCTGCAGTGAAAAGAAAGTTGTGTATTAGGTAAGAAAAATAATGCAATATGTCAAGGTTCTTTGCAAGTTGTTATTTTTAAAATGAGTGAGTTGTTTCTAATCAGAATAGGATTAACTCAAATCAATTGAGCTATGTGCTAAAAAGTAAGGCCCAGCTCCAAATCTCTTCTGTGTTTGGGGTGAGTGATATGAGAATAGCTTATGAAGTTAGCGTAGAGATTAGATTTTTTGTAAAATTAGAGATTATCATCAAATCTACAATGAACATTAGGATTATAATGTAATTTCACTTATATTAACTGTTTATGAACTTTCTGTATTCCTGCCTTTACACCAGAGAGATATTGAAGAAGCACTGGCATAACATTTGTTGTCTCCCAAGTCAGATCTTCCCAACCCCATTGTCTTCCAGATGTCAGGAGCAACAGGTATCAAGAATTCAATCCAGCCTGCATAGGAAAGATCCAGATCCTTTTCAGGAAAATCAATGTAATGATGCCTGTATATACTTTCTGTATTTATATACTTGTTAATTATAGGTTTGGGACAATGACATTGGACTTGGTCTTACCTCAGAGAACGAATCATCATCATTATCACCATGTTCTCTGTTTCTTCCACATGAAATTTAAACTTGCTTCAACTTGGAAATTTCAGCTTGCTACTGAAAAAAGATTTAGTGACCCAGTGGAATACTATTTTTAGTCTTATTTGATGGAAAAATGAATTGTTCTGCTCTGAATTGAAAAAGAATAAGTAAATCCTGATTTATTGTGCAATTCTAATCTCGTCAGTAGATACCATAATTTTAGTGATGCTTATTTCCCCTATATAGGTTTGCAGATTAAAGCCTTGCATGATACGCCAGGGAAGGCACTCCAGATGTTGCTAAATTTATGTGATGTGAATTACAATTATCCACTCTGTTTGGATTTGCTTAGATTAATAGAAATGTCTTCTTTATGACAACTGTTGTTGTGGTGATCATTATTTTTGCTTAAATGTGCTACCTGGATGTCATGAGTGATTGAGTCATAAAAATTTAAAGCAAAAAAAAATTACTAGGGACATTGTGCCATTATTGTGAATTATGGATTCCACCATTTTTGTTACAAACCATAGAGTGATTCAAGGCAGTATGAAAAATGAAAAGAATATCAACACTGGAATTGTTTCCATCCCAGAAGTATTATTTATTCACTTGTAATCAACTTATTCATCCCTAAAAAAATTACTGTGCAAACAAATTATATTGCAATACATTACTTAATGAATAGCAGGCCACTTTCAGTGAAAGCTAGGTGAATATTCTTTATATCAAACTTGGATCTTTCCAGATGTGTTAGAACTATAACATGCTGGCTGAGATTTGTAGTCTCAATGAATCTTGAAATCATTTGGTCATGATATGTTGGTCTATTCAACCAAGCTGAGTTCTGAAAATAAATTATTCTATTTCTTTTAATTCTTTAATGTCAGCCTTGTGGGAATATTCTGCTCCATCAAAAATTAGAAACATTATCCCATAGATCGCCCTACAGCTGAACAGTTTATATTCCACTATAATTCAGTAGATGGCACTTAAAATCTATTCACTGAAAATATAATGCTTAATATAATTCCCCATTCTAAATATATAGAATGTGATT